TAATTTATCCCACATTTCCTTAGCAGAATCACATGCACTAATTCTATCATATTCACTAGGATGTAAAGCACAAAATAATGCATTTTTAGCTTGAGCATTTATCTACAGTTTCTTTTTTTCAGCTTGATCATATGATGCAGGATCCTTAGGAACAAGTTGGTTATCCTTGTCTCTAGCTAACACTTTATAAGGTCCTCTAGCAACACAATCCCACATCTCATAGCTATTTGCTTCTAACCAAATCTGCATCCTATTTTTCCAGTATTGGTAATTTGTTCCATCAAAATAAGGTGGCCTAGTGATTGAATGACCTTTAACAAAATGAGCTTGGAAAGCCATGGATCTACTCAAGATTGTTAAATCTATTTCAAAGAGAACCTACTCTGATACCAATTGAAATCCCAGCTAGCAATTTATAAGTTATTGTGCAGAATAAACAAGAGTAATATAATGCAGAAAAATAAAAAGAAAGGGAAGAGAAAATCAAGCCGTGATTTATAGTGGTTCCTCCAACCCGGAGTACGTCCACTCCCCAAGCCTCCTTGCTCGAGAGTTCAATCCACTAGAAATCTCTTGCTTACGGGTGCAACATAGCACAAAAATAAATTAAACTCTTTTGAATCATGGTTTAAAATCATCATCAAAAAACAAAGAGAACCTAACAGAAGACTCAGAATTATCTAATCCATTACTAGCAAGCAGATCATCTTTTACAAAACTAGTTGAAGCATGTGGTGGGGCATTGTAAAGCTCATCAGATGTACCTGCATCAGAATCACTAAGGAAATAACTCAATAGAAGGATTAGTAAAAAATGGAGGTTGATGAGAATATGACACTTTAAAGTTTGACAACGATGAGAACATAGTGTGTTCCCAAAAGACAATATGACGTGAAACTCGGAGTTTTTGTGACTTAGGATCCCGATATCCTTTTGGTTTAAGTACCATTTTGATCCCTCAACTTTTCACTTTGGTACCAAAATTGTCCTTCACCTTTAAAAAATACCAAAATTATCCTTAGACTTTCATTTTTGGCACCAAAATGATCCTTTCGTTAGTTAAATGATAGTCGGCACGTTAAAATGCCAACAAATCAATTCTTTTTTTTTTTTAATCAATGACATGGAAAAAAAAAACGTAGTTAACTATTTTTTTTTTTATGATTTGGCATTTTTATTTAATTTAACAATAATAATAGTTTTTTCTTTTTTTGCATCCACGTCAGACAAAAAAAAATTTATTCTTCCCCTTTCACTCTCTCTCCTTACCTTTCCTTTCCCTTTCTTCTGCAAACCCAGATCTAGAGTGGACGCTCGATCACTTCTTCGTTCCTCTAGGTGACAGTGCCTTGTTCAATCTTGTCATTGTTCACACCAAACCTTTTGTTGCTACTGCCGTCAGCCTTCTTCTTCTTCTCTCTCAAACCTAGATCTGGGTTTTCATCATATAAATTTGGGTTTTGCTCAAGACTTTCAACGAAGACGAAGAAGGCACGAGCAAATAAAAACTAAAACTAATTCAACCCAAATAAAAACCTAGGTACAGAATCTGACTAAATAGCAACAGGAGATTGCAGATGCATATATAGATACGAGTAGAACTGATATTGACTGACTTACCTGAAGTTGAGGAACTGACCAAAGGCAATAAGGGGCTAGAAAATAATATGGGCCACGATTCATGTTATGGGGTTACAAGATTCGGAGTTTGTAGAGCAAAATCTAATCCCTGATTCTTGCATTGTAGATGGA